TGAGCACCGTTCCGGATGGGAGCAGGGCCAATACCAAAGAAGGTTGTGAAAAAGAAAGGCATGGTTGAGAGGTCGGTCATTATTGTTTCAAGTTGATCGACAAGTTATCAATGCGCCTGTAATTGCAAGAATCACAGCGCTACCTTCACAGATTATGTTCGAGATCTCATTATTCCTCACAACCTCCCCATGCCGGCTCCAAAGACCACAGGGTGGCTCATTGGGTCCACCATGCACCTGCTGCACCTTTGTCTGCGTGTATCTCATACGCGCCACAGCTGACTCAGACATCGGTTGGGAAGACTTGTACTGGGAACGTAGCCAGCAAAGCTGGTTTGACTGGGTAAGCTACGCTCGATACGAAACTCACTTGTCCTTACATATTCTTGCAGACCATTCCGATGACGGGTGTTCTATTGGTTACCTCAATTTTGAATGCAATGCACCTATTTACGCAAAGCAAAACATATCGCCTTCATCGTCGAACCAAGGGAGACCCCGTGTCTTCGCCTCACACCACGTTTGTAACCTCTCCCGTACGTGTGCGACCCGATGAGCCTTCTCCGATAGCCTCCTTCAAAACGCGCATACTCCGCGTGATAAAAGCCGTTATACTTTTCCTATGGAACTGTTTTTATTTCCTTCTGGAAATTCCTGCTTGGTATCTCCACTGCCACACCTTCATCGTCCTCACCTGCCCGAGGTGCCCCTGCAGATCAGATTCAACACTTGAGGTCTGGACTCCAGGCAGCTTGAGCGCGTGCTTCTGAGCATTTATTCCCCTGTTCATGCTCTTATTTGGATTCTACGGGTCCTACAAATTGGATACTTATGACGGCTGTGATGGGTGCCGTGGGGGTTCAAACTAGCCTTCTCGTGCAGGCTTATGAGGGGCTTGTGAAGGACCGTGCCATTCTTGCAGCTGAAGTCATGCATGAATATAACGAAGGGGTGAGTTTCCATCGTCTCCCACGAAATTCCCCGCTGATATAATCTTTCTCTCTCCAGTTCGTATATCCGCGAATGAATACTGTGAAGAAAGACTCGCTGTCATGACGCATCAATCGGAGATGGTAAACGTCTGGGAAGATTAGTGATCGCACACCACCATCCTAGACATAGCTACATCATGCATCAGAAAGTATACCTGACGCTAATATCATTCCTGTATGTAGATTGAACCATCACCAGCCAGCGCATTCACCATGATAGCCTGCACCCAAGTTAGTCCCGAAACTTGATATACATATTAATTTACGCATTTGCCAGTCTCTTGTCCCAGCTGTCATCCCCAGCTCGTATGGTACCAGTCGTACCTCAGCCTGAAACACTTGCATACTATTGTTCACCTACGTCACTCTCTTTCAATCATATTGCTCTGAAATTCAGGCACAATGGAGGACTGGAAACTTAATGTAGTCTACAGTAATAACGAAGTCGCGGTGGGAGCGTTAGTCGCGGAGTACTTATGTCGAAAATTTACGGTGGCGCTCAGCCAAAACACCAAGCGAGAGCACGTGACCACGATCAATTCCCTTTTCGAGGCGGGATTCGCTGACCTCGCTGGCACATGACCGTTTGTGTGACAGGCGTGAGTTTTGGTTGAAAAAAACAGAGCGTTTCAACAAATGCGCTGGCAGGACGGAACAAACGCGAGTGGGGTGCGGGCATGATTAGCGACGGCGAGTGGTAAGGTAGAGTATCAGTAGTATGCTACTAAGTAGTAGGCAGTGAGTGTGGAATGTACAGAGTCAGCCAAAGCAGTGAAACGTCGTAGCGAAGCAGTGAAAGCACTGAAAGGCAATGATAGTATGTAGTAAAAACGGGACCGGTATCACTTGTTGCGAGAGATACGGTCCCCTCGTGCAGCGCGTGCCTTGTTCACAGCCTTCAGAAGTTGCGTGTGCCCTAGCTCGGCCTCTGGATAGGCTGCGAGGAAGCGTGCCTCGTTCGACTCGTACCTGGAGCCGAAACAGAGGGTTAGCAGTGCCGGCAGTGTAGATACCAGTGCAGGGACTTACTGATTAATGAACTCTAGCGCGATTGTTGCACGTTGGTGGTACTTTGATGCAAACCGTCTATTTGCACCTTGGTACCAGTGCCTTGGCCAGTCCTTCAGTGGCGTTGTCAGTCCTCGGTCTCGATCGCCAACAAGCCAGTGTTCGACAATCTCCTTCCAGGAGTTGTGCTTCGGGCTGGTGGTTCCGTTGGGACGAGAGACGGGACCCGAGGATCACAAGGCAGGTGTTGGGAGTTTCTGGTACTTGAAGCCCGAGTGATGCTGATGGGCAGCGTGGTGCAGAGTTGTTGTGACGAGGTGCGGATGGATGGCTCGTGGTAGGGAGAGTGTGGCTGACGACGGGCCTGGGTAAAACTGGCTGTTCGGCTCTCGCACTATGTCTCTGACAGGTGGAGTTGGTGTGCGGGAGGCACACTCAGAGACGTTGGTGAAGCGGGGGCCTGAATCGAGACGCTGGAGAGCGATTACTGTGGTGCAGGCACTGTGCTACAACACTCGTTAGGGAGCGGCATGTCATTGCGAAGGGAGTTGACATCTGCTGAAACGGATGCGTGCACCATGCGAAGCTCTTCTGTCGATGCTGGTCTGGCGAGAGCATGTTCGCCAGCAAGGGAGGCATCAGCACCCGGGAGATGGGGGCAAGGGCATCACTGTAGTCAGTCTCATATGCATGTAGTTCGTCGAGGAGGTAGCGAACGAGTGTATCACGCTGAAAATAGACACAATGAGAAAAAAATGCTGCATCAGTCAAGTGTCAGTCATAAGAACATGAGACATACCTGCTCGCCATCAGCCCATCCCCCCCACCAACGAACTTTAGCAAGTGTCCACCGCTGGCCCACTGGAGCAAACATGAACCAATATTGCGCACCTCCCCGACGAAAGCTGAGTTGAGAAGTTACCACGGATGCCAGCGCCAGCGGTTGACTCATTGATCCATTTTTGTACCGTATCGTGAGAGATTGGCTGTCCAGGATGCACAACACCATTTGCACTCATCGCAGGAAAAATGAAGTCGTTCGGCTGGAGATTCGCCCGTAGTGAAATGATTCAAGCCACTTGATCCAAACTAACATCCAGAAGAAATTGTCGCAGGCTGGCATGTTGGGGCGTGGATAAATCTTGTAGTGATTTGCTGCCAGTGGTGAGGTCATTTAGTCATCCCGCTTCGATTTAATGTGAGCAACTCACATCTCAGATCTGCTTCCCATTGGCCCTTGTCCACCTTCTTTTGCCATCCTTTCCGGTGAGCGAGAAAGATCTCGAAGTATGATGTGCATTTACTCAGCGTGAGTGTCTCGTTTGCAAGGTACACGCCGAGCACCCCATCCAAAATAGTGGTATCAAGTGAGATATCCTTTCTTTGCAACTTTACAAGCTCGTTTGCAAACACACACCCATCCAAAATAGTGGCAAGTGAGATATCCTTTCAACTTTACAAGCTCAAAACACCTGCGGGCAAGTTAGATCGCGCACGTGCTGCGGAAAAGCTAATCAGATCTCACCTTGTCCATAACGTCCATCCGTTCGATGCGAACGTGACTTGTTCAAGATGGCGAGTAAGTTTTGTCCTCATTTCCAAGTCCAGGTGCATATCCGAAGGCCGAGCACCACTCATCACCTTCTGAATCATCTGTAGTGCAATCTCGAGTGGACACACAGCCTGGTGCCATCGGAATGCCCGATCCATGTAGTCCTTCGTCATTGCCATTGAGTGAGTGCGATCTCCTCCCTCGGCACTTGCCTTATGCTTGATGGATGACAGCACATCATAAATGTCTGCAGAATCAGCAGGGTTTCCTTCCCAGCGCTGCTTCGCCTCATTGAAGTGCCATTTGCCACGATAGGTATCACCATCTCTAAAATGTAAGTCAGTGCTCGTATGCTCTAATTTGTGTACGATAATACTCACGATAGCTCCCACAGCTTCTTAAATGCCGAACGGATGCTCTCGACAGTAGTTTTGCTGAGGTTCTCGTGGAACCCTTTCAGGGACATGAGATGCGCCAGTGCTTTTGTCAGAGCAATCTGGTTCGGATGCTCTCTCAAATGCATATTTGAAGGCCGGGGTCATCATACAGTCATTGTCGGCATGTCTTTCGGCAAGTTGCAGGGCAACAGAACGATTTTGTGAGTTTTTCAGACGTGTTCCACCCCTCCAAGTCTCGCTGACAGAAGAACAGGCTCGGGGTTTCGAAATGGCTTGCCAACACATTCCCGTCCACGCCGAACATGCCCGGCATAGTTTCTGTCCTTGTGTTATTGCCTGAAGGTGAGTTTTTATTCCCTGGTTTCCTTTACACTTTGGACGTCTGCTAAAGCTGTCTTCGCAGCAGCTGAGCAGCTTGATCTCGTCTTTACGCCCAGCTTTCTGCTGAGCCAGTGTCTGGCAAGCTGGGTTGGGGGCTTTCGTTGGAATCCTTCTTGAGTCGTGCCCAACTTTGTGAACACGGACGACGAGTGAGTGTGGCACAAATGGTAGTTCAAAATTTCGGGACGGAGATCATTGTCAGGGCCTCTAACTATTAATGACAATTTCACATTTCACATTTCACACTATTTAGATTAGGAGACGACAATTGATTGCACTAGGCACTAATATACTGCTGCACTACTTGGGGAGCCATATGATCCAGTATTGTTGCCGGAAGACGCATGTACGAGGGAGAGAATTTCCCTTGAGCTGAGTTGCCTAGGGTGTTTGTGTGCCAACCACCAACCATCGACTTGATATTATAAATAGCGATATCATGCCGCAATGCCATCAACGTTCCACGAGCAATTATTTTGAACACCGGCCGGCGGTCTGTGTGGTCCGCATGCTGACGGGGCAAACTAAAAACATGAGTTAGAGTCTATAAAAATTGAACCACATGTGCCGCCTACCTTGCATATGGTGCGGAGACATGCACCCTCCCACACACTCCCGTGCATCTTGTCAATGATGGCATCATCGTCCCAGCCCAACTGCAGCCTGCAGAAGTCTGCAAGGTCTGCAAGATGTGGCTGGGAGGACGACACGTCCAGTAGCACATTCTCCGCGGCTGAAAAAGATGTTGGAGGATGGACATATTTGTCGATCACTGCACGATGTGGAAAATCGCATGGGATACAATCTGCGACAGCCTTATACCGACGCTTGAGGTCCTGGTAGGGGTCATTGGTGAGCATAGTGCGTAGTTCATCGACGAGGTCCTCCGCACGCTCAGAGAACTCCTCCGGCGGCATAGACAGGAATGCGCAGAGCATATTCTCACCAATTCTGCTGCACATAGCAACCTTGTGAGCAATCTCAATTCCACAACCAGGCACCCCTCTATCATAGTCTCCGCCCACCAGGAGGGCAATGAGCAGCCGATCTCCTCGGGTCAAGGAGGCACCATGCTCGAGACCATCCTCCGTATACACTTGAACATTGAGATAGTCCTTGTCGTTCTTCGCACTGCGACAAATCAATGGCAAAAGCATGAGAAAAACATGACGGCATACGTTCTAATTATGCACACAGCTCCGAAGATCAGAACATCCACTGTCCTCGGTTCATCACAGCGTCGATAACACCATGGGTGTTCATGGCAGCCAATTCGGCTTCGGCTTCACTCGGGGCCTGGGGAGTGGTGAGACAACAGTCTCATGAGGTGAGGTGAGCAAAACTTACCTCGGTCCACTGAAAGCCAAACAACTCCAGCATGCGCTGGAAGTCGCGGGTGAGCCAGTGGGGGCTGTGTCTGATTGTTCGACCCTTGTCTGGCAGGCGGCTCAGGCCATCGAAGACAAAGACCACATGCAGGGGAAGCTTTAGTAGTGTGCCCAGCCGAAAAAACAGTGTTCGGAGTTCCGGTGATTTGCCAGCTCCTGCATGGTTCATCTGAAAGACGGCACATATGCCGTGCATCCATGCGCTAACAACACGAGTCAGTTCACTGCAGACATGTGAAAGAAGAGTAGCACCGTACCTAGCATCAATCCCGATCCTGAACAATTTGACTATGGGGTTGCCACCAATGTATTCGGTCTTCAGTTCTGACAGTGCGAGCTCTTTAAGTGTTCGGTTGTCGGCGGATGTGCTGACGCGCTGCAGATGGCATCAGTACCAGTCAAAGTCAATACCGCCATGGATTTATTTCGCTCACCTCCCATAGCCCTTGGATGCCCATGCTGAGCTGTGATGGTAGTGCAGAAGTAGAAATTCTTGAAAAGGGGGCAGCCAGAGAGGGGCCAGCTGATGTCAGCTGACCGCTGCTGAAAGCAGCAGCCTTGGTCAAGACATCAGGCTGGCTGCCCAAGTATATCGAGACTGTCTCAGTGGGGACAGTGGTGTTGCGCTCGATGAGAGCGGTCACGACACCACCGGCGGTCTCAATACCGAGCGATAGAGGAGAGACATCGAGAAGCAGGAGATCTTGGGTCTTCTCAGAGGTGTCGCCAGAAAGGATGGCAGCCTGAATGACAGCGCCGTATGCAACAGCCTCATCAGGGTTGATGCTCTTGTTGGGCTCCTTGCCATTGAAGAAGTCGGACACGAGCTTGACGATACGGGGAATACGAGTAGAACCACCGACAAGAAAAATTTCGTGGACATTGGCCTTGTCGATCTTGGAATCCCGGAGAACCTTCTTGACGAGTTCGAGCGTGCTGCGGAACAGGTCCGCGCACAGCTCTTCGAAATGGGCACGAGTGAGGGAAGTGTAGAAGTCGATACCCTCGAAGAGGGAGTCGATTTCAATGGAAGTCTGTGTAGCCGACGACAAAGTATGCTTAGCACGCTCGCAAGCAGCCCGTAGACGACGGAGAGCATGAGGGTTGGAGGAAAGATCTGCATCGATGTCATTAAGCACCGGAGTAAATAACTAGGTTAGAAGATAGACTCACCCTTCTTGTGCTTGCGCTTGAATTCTTGCGCGAAGTGGTTGACGAGACGGTTGTCGAAATCCTCACCACCCAAGTGAGTGTCACCAGCAGTGGCCTTCATCTTGAAGTTACCCTCCAATGGGTGGTGCGAGTGGAAGTGCAGTAGTCCAGAGGCCCTGTATAATGTGAGTACTGAGAAGCATGAGGAAAAAAAATGACATACAGTATTTCTTCTCCAGGGGAGTTGTTGTTGCGTTGTTGGCAGCATTCACCTCCAGCGTTGCGCACGACAGTGACGAAGAAGGTTCAGAGCGGAGGAAAGCTCTGTCACGTGACTGGAACACAGCCGCACCTGTTTATGGCAGCTGTGTAGGATGAGTTCGAGGGAGAGAAGGAGAAGGTAGAGATAAGGGAGTGTGAGTGCAATACATTAATGTAAAGTCCAGTAAAGTGTGATTTTGAGTCAGTAAAGTGAGGAAAGTGCGGGACAGTGAGAAATACACGGTAAATTTTGTAAATTTTGTAAATTCCGAACTTCTGGGCAGGCTCCCTCCCTGCGGATGTGCCCGGTGCCACGTACTTGTAAATTTACATGCAAGCTCCCTCAAATCTATCATTTTGGTTCACATATGCTTGCCTATGTTTTACGAGTGTATTTTCTCGTGTTTCCGCTCTAGTTTTACTTAGCATTTCTCATAGACTGTAGATAGTACTAGTACTGCCACCAGGCGGCAATTCTCGAGTTCATCTTGGGCTAGAATAAGGCGTCACGTGACTTTTTAGGATTCCTTTTTTTTTATAGAACGAATCTCAGACGAACCCCCTTTACAGAATTTACGTTAGCTAATCGTGAATTTTTCCAGATATCCTGACATAAGTATCATCAGCCAGAGCCTTACATAATGCAACTCTTCCGAGTCTAGTATCACTTGCAATTAATGATAGTCACCAGTAGCTGACCTTGGCTCTATAAGCTGACGTGGCCAGTAATACACATATGACAGTCGATATCTCGTTTTATAAGCCTTGACGACGCACTTGGCGACGGACGTGCTCGGTGGGACCGGGTGGGTGCTTCCATCATTGCAGGGCAGGCCGACGCTCGGAATACGAAGTGCCAGCGCTAACATTGGTGGTGTCATAGTCGGTGTCTTCAAATCTTAAAGATAGGTCCTTGTTTCGTCATAACTCGATCATCAGACCGAAGGACAAGTAATGCCCGTTCAACATAACGATACGATTTCGAAACCTCTCACACCGCGCTCCCATGATATACTTTGTATTCTCACAGAACAAATTTCAGCATGGTCCTTGAAATGTTCCAGCTGGAGAACGGTCTCCATGACTAGGTCCTGTGACACTAATATTCCAGTGAGTTCTGTGCTACATGTCACGATTTACATCTGCCAACTTGATGTTGCTACAGACATCATTTTCCCATCGCGTGTGTTATATCTGTTGTGTTTCAACTTATTCTTCCTCCCGACTGTTGAACTCGGCTTCCAAAAAATGGATATTGCTGCCTATTTCACGGCACAATTATTTTCAGGTTCTAGCAGCGACGACGCTGAACTCACATCCACGTATCCCTGAATGACACACTCGAGAACCAGTGTAGACTCGGGTGTAGCATATCGTGACGCTGTTGGAGCCCATACCATCGCAATGTGGAAATTGTACACGCGCCGAACGCAGAAAATATCCAACACTTACTTCCTTACACCGGTCGGGCCGCAGAGAGGCGGTCCTTGACGGACCGCTACGCGGATAATATGTGCAATTTAAAGCCACGTCCTTCCAAGTTACCTCCCGCACAATGCATATCCTGTCCTTGACAACATTAGTAGGTGCACTCCTTCGCGGCCCTCGTACAGGGCTCGGGAACTGCTTCAAACGCAAACGGTATATCATGTACCTGTCACAGCGAGTGGCGGAGACGATGGACCAGCATTCGTAGATGCTGTTCAACGTTGTGACTCAGTGAAAATCCCTCCTGAAACTACTCTTTCGATAGCAACCAGGATGAACATGACCGGATTGAAGGACAAGAAAATTGTATTTGGCAGTGCTCTATTATGATGTACTGACAATTTTACATAGTGGGTTGTAGGAACTGTCGGGAACTGTGAAATTCACAAACGATATGTCATATTGGATCAACGTATGTGTCAGAAGTCGCGATGCATCATTCGCTAATTTCTCGTTTTAGAATGGTTTTTATTTTGAGTTCCAGGACCAAATCGCTTTTTGGATCGTAGGTGGGAAGAACATCCATATTAACGGCGGTGGGACAATAGATGGTTCAGGTCAGGTATGTTAATTAACTCATGGTAAAGTCCGCATGATAATCCCACAATCTGCAGGTCTGGTATGACGCATTGTGAGTAATTACAGTAGTCTGGATGTAGCGTTAAACTGACTCTGCACCCAGTGCCACCAACAGCACTCTCTTGCGTCCAATCCTGCTCACGGTTTACCAAGCCACTGATGTTTCTATTAAAGACATTACGATGATCGAACGGCCCTGAGTGGATTAACTTTGTGAGCAGTTCAAAATTCAGTTAATTTTTGACTTAACGAGCTTACGCCTCAAGGCAGGTCAATGAAGGGCACAATATTACCTACGATGGCATCAACATCAGTGCCGTCTCAACATCAAGCCATCTTGCGAAGAATACCGATGGCTGGGATATATATCGCAGTGACAACGTTGTCATCATTAATTCGAACATCGACAACGGCGATGATTGTGTTTCATTGAAACCAAGTACCATCTATCCTCATCATAACTCCGTGTTTCACTCATGCAGTCCGTGTTTTAGATTCAACAAATATCATTGCATCAAACTTGTACTGCAACGGTTCCCAGTTGGTAGAAGCTTTCTTTGGCAAAGCACCTGCTTACTTTTGTTGACAGTGGTATTTCCGTCGGTTCCCTCGGGCAGTATCCCGGGGTGTACGATATTGTGGAAAACTTCACTTCGACGTGTGTTTGAACATGAACTCCAATTATAGTCAAGAGTACTGATGAAGAGCTCTAGCAATGTTCAAATGCATAACGCCGAGAATGGTGCGCGCATTAAAGCCTTTGCTGGCCCTGGGGTTGGCAGTGGTATTGTGAAGAATGTCAGCTTTAGCTTCTTCACCGAGGCCAATGTCGATCACCCCTTGGTCATTGATCAGGTTCGTGGTCACCTTCGTACTATCAGCGACAGACTAATTGCTGTGCAGTGTTACGAGACTAGCGCAACAGAATGTGCTGAATACCCTTCCAACGTATATATTCAAGACGTCACATTTACCGAGTGCGCGAAAGTGTTTCTGTCACTTAGTTGGAACTTACAAAGAATGTTTTAAGTTTCAAAGGCACTTCGTCTGGAAAAACAAAATCCGTTGTTGCTTCGCTGGCATGCTCGCCGGACAGCCGTTGCAGTAATATCAGGGTTGGCGACATATACCTTGAGTACGTTCTACTTCTTTTATCTTGCTATGGTTCAAGAAAATGATTAATTTCCAAAGACCGCCTTCACAATATGGTGATGCGACCTACTCTTGCCAGAATGTGAATGTCACTGGAGACGCTGCTTCCCTGTTTAGTGACTGTGCAACTACTTGAACATAATTGAGTAAACATTAGTCGGTGCAGTGAAGGGTCGTGTAACAAGCTTGTGGTAGCACACATTATGAAGCTTGTCTGTCTTTGCGAGCTTGAAAATTTGATTGTTAGCCTGCATTACTACTACTAGTGAGAGAGCGCTGAGCGCCTTGTGCTCGCATACTTAATTTGTTTACATAATTTCTCCCTATACATACGCTTCGTCCATCGTTTATGCCTCTCAGGCTCATATCCAGAATGGATCTTTTGGTCCGTTGCAACCGCTCTGCCTTCGCCGCACGTCGTTCGAGGTTGTTTTCCCTGTTCCCTGGCCGTGCTCAAGGAACCCGCATACCAAAAGACCAACCGTTTTATGAAGTCAAGAAGCCCAGTATCTTGATCAAGTTCACCTGGACACTCCTCATAGCTGATGCGGTGTGCACGTAAGTTTTTCTGCTTTAGCACGCGCTGGTTTAACCTCAATAATGGTGTGCAGGCTAGCAATGTGTGAGCTTTCTTGGAACCATTTTACGCGTCTTGTGGAACCAACCGAGTCCGCAACACCTGATAGCTCCAATACGGGCAATACGCCACAGTATGTACTCCGTCCGACATACCAGCGTGCTGGTCTGGTCTTCATGCATCTTGCGTTTGGGGGTTGGGTGGCATTTATGGTTGGCATGAAAAGTGGAATGAATGTAAAGAGGATCTGGCTGACTCCACGTCCACGAGGGGATCTAACCACGACGACGCGGAAAGCACTTGTGCGTCCAAAGGTCGCGATTTTCGAAGGCTTCAGCAGTTTTGGTCTACGTGGTGATGTACTGGACATCAGACATTGTCACTTGTCCTCTGCAGAACCCGCAGAAGACCTGACATTGACTGTCAGCATACCCGGGAATAGAGAACAACAACTATCGATCGCGACGAAAGGCGTTCACATTGATGGGAAGCCTGCTTCACGCGATGAAGTTCACACTTCACTCTCGCAAGTCTTTGGACATAAATCTAACATCGCATCCTGGACAAGTGGTCCCATTCTAGATGCACAGGTATGCACCCCATCAACTGAAAGCTCTCGTTCTCATTTCATTGCCCCAAGAAATCATGATCAAACTAGGGCAGGATAGAACATTGCGAGCCTGTTGTCAGCCGACAGCTTACAATCCATATTCACTCGACTAGACCGAGGCCCTGGCATGCGATAGAGATACCTATGGCCTGATGTACTTCTTCATAATGAATTACACATGACACCAGTAAGCCTGAGTATCTATGACCTTGGGTTCTGTGGCCATTTGTCCATGTCCTCGCAGGGCTTTACGATGGGAGATACTACCGACTGAAAGGTGTGTTCTTGGAACTGCGAAGACGATATAATTGCCACAGACTTGGCTATTAACATTACATCAACATGCGAATGTTATGGGTAAAAGAGGAGCGCTTACTCCCGACAGCGCCCAACAGTATGAAGTCCAACTCTGTTTAGATCAGCCTTATTTATAAATCTTTCCGGAATCCTATTTTCGCCAACACAACCAACCTTATTCGGTGCTGTATGGAAATATCGTTGCAGGAGTGCACGACTGGTGAAGCTTATGGAATTTTGAAGCCTCGTACTATACTAATTGTACAACGCGCCCTGTGGGGTTGCTGCTGGGCAAATACAGACAAGTGCCAAATTACCTTGTCGCATTCACATTCATATTCCGGACTAAATATAACAAGTCTGCTTGAGATGCTTCAGCAAAACCAGCTTCACGACATATGCATGTTTATTGCGGCTTCTGCCGTGAACGCACTTATTTCTCTGCCATCATGTCCGGCACTCGGTATATCCCTCACGTACTGTACTCAACAGCTTTGACCTCAGTTTCTATCCACTTACTATGGCAGCGAAAAATAGCTGAAGAGGACCGGGCGAGTTTCAAGGCTCAAACATCCATTCTGCAAGACCTCATTGAGCAACTTCGTTCGGGCAAGTCAATATCCGACGAAGAAATAACGAAGTCGCGTAACCTTGCGCGTATACATGGAGAGGGCAGACAGTCGTCCGACAAGGAAAGAACTAACATTGGATGGATGGATGTGGTATGGGGCCGCAAAACGCCCGCAGACCTTGGTGTCAGTGACGAATGGGAACGAAGGGATCTGGAGCAAAGTGAGTCGCTCCTGCTCTTACACACGATATCCAGCTAACTGGTCCGCCCAGTACGGAAAGAAATTGAGGCAGAGCGTTGATACGTTCTTCTGACCTTCATGTGAGTATCATCATAATGTCTTCTGCCTGTACACAATATACACCGGACCAATGAATCTACAGAGTACACGCGCGCGTCTCGCCTTCCTCAATATCCCCGTTATCCATGACAAACTCTCGTACTATCATTCCCGCTGCGAGCGCATGCCTACGTAGACGTAGACTTCTGAACGGATAATCATATCAATGAGACGACCCCGGTGTCAAAACGTCTCACAGCGTACCTTTCCATTTGTATGTTTGCCATTCTGGGCAGACTCAGCAAACACAGAGGTTGAATATGCGATAGTCACTCACCGCGTTAGAGGCGCCATTTGCGTTAGCATTCTTGTTCTTGTTCTTCTTCTCTGGATCGGGGTTCTGTAACGTCGGAACCGAGTTCCCCGTGGTACCATTATTACCATCTGAGGAACCTCCAGCAGTCATCGATGGTTCAGTTGCGGTGGCGCCGTTCATGCTGGCGAGCTCGAATATCTCGCATATGATCCTATTGACTTCTTCGTTGCCAGCGCTCGCACTTGTTGGAGAACGACATCCATCCTCTGCCGCCTTTTGAACCGCTCTCTCCCTTACCATCGTCAGCTTGAGAATGGTTTCGAGGTCAAGCTTTTTAGCCTCCGAAAGAGGAGGAAGCGAAGGGCTCATGGCTAAAGTCGTGTATGATGGTAACAGAAGTTGTGCGTCAATCTTGAAATTGGAATAGATCTTGATTTTGTCGATAGGTTTTAGCTCAATCTTCTCGAGCTGGCGCACAACCAGCTTTCTGATCTTGTGAAAGCCCCACCGCGTTGCGAGCCTTAGAATAATCAGCCACCTCTCGAGCGGCTGGTTTTCGTATTCGTAGTCTCTAGAAAGACCCCAAGTCTTAGTAACAGCATCGTGTGAATGTGCTACAACTCACTCGTCATAGAACACCCACAGGAAGTGGGCAAAGTCGTCTGACTTGACGTCTAACGTATAAGGCTTAGTGTCGCCGCCGCCTTCGGAAAATATATCCCTGAACGAATTTGATTCGCGCTGGAAAAAATGAGAATGCACTTTGAATAGAACGCTTTGTGCCTGGATGAAGAAAAAAATTAGATCCTTCATCAGCGCTCTATGCCCAGGACGTCTCACTAAGAATTCGATGTCCCCAGTGGGAATGAAATACTGAGGGTGATTTTTGATTTGAGAAACGCCGTTTTCAGAGGAATTGGGCTCAGCTGAGGTTGACATTTCGAGATGTGACGTTGGGTAGGTATCGATTGTGGGGTGAATAATGCTCGTATGTCCCTTGTTTCGACCGATGTTTATACTTATCTGCCTTGTAAGCGCTGGTGATGCTTCGATTCAGCTCAGCCCGCCATCAGCCTTCGAATTTCTCGATATATCCAGCAGTCCTGACTGCCGACGTAATGATAATCCCTCATTGTTGTGTGGCCTCCAGGTCAAATAGAGTGTGTACAATAAGAGTACAATGGACGCGCGTACTATTACTATTAGAAGAGGATCTCCGGCGAGTCGCGACGGAAAACAAGCCTTTGACCCGGAAATTTGGATTACCAAAAGTTTAGCCATGACAGGCGAAGCGAACCCACGATGCTCCTCGAGGCAACATATATGTATGGAATGTTCTGGTCATCAAGAGCGCGATCATTCAATATTTGGTACTCGTTTGGCCATCACCACCGAGGTGATCGGACACACGCGATTCGTCTCACTTGGCACTCGCGGATCGCTCGCTGAGCAAGGAATTTTTGATGCAAACAAGAATAGATTTACTCAAGGAATGTCGAGTGTCAGTTTTTTTGAAACGGAAAGGGAAGGGATCACCATGTGCCAAACTCCTCTCCAACTTGGCTAGGCTGGAGTCCTCTTGCCCTTGTTTTGGCCTCCCCCACCTCCACCTCCACTTGCTCCGCGATTGCCACGCTTTGACCCGCGACCGCCTTAGATGAAATTGATTTGAGATGTACATCGGATTGATATTACCGTGATGCTCACCTCGCCCGCCGCGTCCACCCCCTTCGCTATCGGACAGCACACTAGAAAAATCAGGGTCCTTCGTTTGATTTTCATTCTTCTCAGCATCATTTTCGTGGTCGTTAGTCTCATTGTCATCGGTAGTCTTAACATCATTGGGTGTTGATACAACAGGCTCAGGAGTAGGGGTGACAACGGTGGTGGAACTATCAGGAGAACCAGCCTTTCCCTCCTTTGTTTCCTCCTGTGATACCAAGAATGAGTCGTAGTCAGAACAGGATAAGTACAGGACTCGCCACTGATGAAGGCTCACCCGTTCCATTTGGTCTGTTCCACGAACCAGTCTTTAATGGGTCGGCGGTAGAGGGGGTCGTGGTGAAGGGAGAGCTCACGTGCTCGGGTACCGTTGCGTTGGGCTTCTCCGGGGGTGTGGGCTTAGTATCAGATGTCGGGTCAGCTGGCTTGGGTTCAACATCTGGCGACGATGATGCATGGGCAGATGCCGAAGAAGACGAGGAAGTAGGGCGCGATTCCATGGCTGTGGCGAATGTGCGCATCGTGTCAACGGAGGAACGAGCAGTCGGGTCAGGGATGGATGGACCGTTGGTACGAGTTGAAGAACGAGTAGTTGGGTCAGGGATGGATGTACCGTTGGTACGAATTGAAGGACCGCCATTGACTTTCGGTGGTGCCGTTCCGTTGACCTTCGTGCTACTTGTGTAGGTCGAGCCATTGGTGTAGCTAGTTGAATTACTGGTCTGCGGAGTCGGGGACGTCGGTCGCGACGCTATTCCAAAGACCTCCCTGATCATAGTTTCCAGCTCATTGTCTTCGAAGTCGTCAAACGTAGGCGTCCGAATACCGCTCTCTGCAGCACGCTGGCGAGCCCGCTCACGAGCGTCTGCAATACGGAGAACGGTCTCCATCCCAAGCTGCATGCCCTCAGCAAAGGACAAGGGTTTATCTCTCTTGCAAATAGCAATGTACGATGGGACGAGGAAGAGCTTGTTGATAGTGTACTCGTGATAGATTGCGATCTTCTCGACGGGTTCTATTTGAATCTTCTCAAGTTCACGCACGGTGAGCTCCTTGACGTTGCAGAAGCTCCACCGGTTGGCGAGGTGTAGGATACTCAGCCAGGTCTCGAGAGGAGCCTCATAGAGCGAATATTTACTGTTCATGAACATCAGCATGCTTGACAGCGATAAAAATAGATTAATTGGACATACGGGTTATAAAAGACCCAAAGAAAACGCGCAAAGTCTTCGCTCTTGACGTCGTCCAAGGTATAGGCATTGTTGTCCGATGAGCCGCGTTCCTCGCCTTCGGCCGACTGGAACTTCTGGCGGAAGAACAATGATTCGCGCTCGAAGAAATGACTATGTATCCGGTAGAGATGATTCTCGACCTGCGAAATTCGAAGTTACATCCATCAATCCGAGGGGTTGAGCATCATAACGACTCACCAATACGGTCATATCACCACCGCGTAAGTAATAGTCCTTGTGGTGGACGACACGAGCCAAACCGTGCTCTGATGAGTTGACCATGACGGACTCTACCTGAGAGAGAAGGGAGGGTGGAGGGAGGTGAAAAGGTTTTGGTTCAAGAGGAAATTTTTGAAGGAAGTCAAGATATACGTTTCCTGAAATCGATTCCAGTGTTAATGATCAAAATCAGCTACACGTGTTCTACGCATGTCGGCCATTGTTCCCTTCGTCGGAGTCCTTTTATTCCTACCCGATTGCTTAGCCTGAAGGTCAATTGCGTAAACATCCTCATTGCCTATTGTCAAAGTTGTTGGCCAAATTTCGATATTTGGGAGTCGCTTACACTATAGTACCACGGCGTTGTTTAACAAACACCGCTGAGTTACGTGGGATGAGTCGGGGAAGCAGCGTGCTGCAGCTGGTAAGTTGGATGACATCCAGGGACCCGACAAGTTCTGAACTGAAATTTCAAAAGAGTATGCTCCGCGGGAAGTCATCAATTCTCAATATCAAATCAACACAGGATTCGTGATGGCGCGCAACTGCGGATCAGTACTCAGTTTCGAGGTTCTTGCTAGCTAGACAGGCCCGGAAATCTTGCCTCAAGGCAAGCTGTGATGGCATACACCACACGAATGACAAAGGAACTACATTCCTGGGGCTTTTGCCTACGCGAAATGTGGGCATACGTAGTTCATGCGACCCACCTATAGGCAACACGAGGTCAATGAATAGATAAGGCGTACGTCAAGAATCATTGATCCTGAGCTCGCTTCATAGGATATTACCTATTAGCATTCAGTCATTGCGTTTTGGGTTGGCCGCAGCAGCTCGCTTGTTCTCGCAGAGTCATAGAGCAGGAGTTTATGTTGCGTCACTGATTCTAGGCCGCCATTAATTGCAAACACGCGACATAGTCTGCGTGTGCGAAAGGGCCATTGTCAAAATTTAGAGTTGAGTGTTGTGGATCGATCAACCAGCTTGTTGAGTCATGCCAGATAGGCACGCGTGCCGCATGCGCTGACCTGAGGACAGCCGCTAGGTCACAAATTCTAGACGCATTCAAAGACTCACGATCTATTCGAATTTGCCGATTCTCAGTTACGGAGCACTATGGTATCAGTACCAGTCTGCTTCTCGAATGAGTCCTTGAAAGTGGTAAAGGTATCCTTCCCGAGGATGGCGAATACTATGCGATGAAACGAATGCCGGTATCGTGCACCTTTCACCGTCAATAACTCTGCCCAGACCCTCGCAACAACCTCAACATCATTTTGGAATACCCCTGTTCCAAAACTGCCCAAGACAATATTCTTAGCCCCCTGCTGTTCAAACAAGAACAAGATGCGCGCCATTCTCTCTTTCATAACTGACTCGATGTGCTTCTCGGTCTCTGCAGGCCTTGAATCATCCCCGATCTTCTTCCTCACATCGCCAGCATTTACAGCAGCGCTTGTTAGAACATCGGCTTCAAAAGGCGACGTCCAATTCCCTGTGTCATCCTTCAAGATCACGACAGAAGGCGTATAGATCATTGCGTGATGATAAAATCCTCCGTTTCTATCACGGGTATGTAGTCGGTAGAAGCGTTGCGCGCTGTCCGTCATTAGAGAGGGGTAAAGCGTGGATGACCGGGCTATAGACTCTTCTTGAGCTTGTGCCCCATTCAAGAAACCGCCTCCAGGACGAGTAGCAGACGCAAAGTTCAAGATTGCGATCCTGCCGAAGCTCGCGGAGCGAGACGAAAGGATACTGAACAGCAATCGGGCACCTTCAAGGGTCGAAATCTCGAGGATAGACACCTCGGATTTCGTAACCGCTAGATTATGTGCTGGAGCACTGGTGGACCAATTGGACAGCAAAGAATCTGGAGCATAGTAGCGAGTGTTATGGTTGGAGAAGTTGACTTTGGCAGCGAGATCATGGGAAACGTCGGTGATAGTGACCGTGCCGTTCTCAATGGCGTCCAACGTGCTCTGCGCGATTTCTTGAAGTCGACTACGCCTATCTCCACCAAACTGTCCGTCTTTCTTGAATGGAAGCTTTGTCTGAACGCTCATTACGGCAGAAGATGGATGTCGTTGTCAATGAACGTTCCTTGTCCGCAAGCTTTATCGTGATACTGTAAGGCGGTGTCGCTTTTGCAAGGCTAGGCATAAAATGGCAGTAGCAATTGCCGCGGTCTCCTATTCTGTCAAAAGTTTTTTTATTATCGAACTCGACTACCTTCCGTTTTCGGGTCCCAGCGCCGGGCGCGACACAAAGGCTTCTTCAGCTGTCGTCCGAGGAGGTTTCAGCGCAGCGCCCAATGACGCTCCCGACTTTCACACGAGAGGACTAATAAGTCAGCACAAGGGTGCATGGATTCAACCCACAAACGCCGTCGTCGTAAATACCATCACTCACACGTTTCTGCTTCCAATCGTACTAACGGCCCGCGACCAACTTGGGTCACCTTACTTTCTACCATCTGACGAGGCAAAAACACAAGATGCTGTCATCGCTTGAACCCCTGGAGGAGGTGAGTAGCTTTGTGTTGTGGCACATGCTGAGGCTGAGATTCGTGCAGAGATTCAGACAGGTAGAAGAAGAGAGTGAGAGAAGGGCCATGGAAGAACATGAGCGGTCGGCAAACGAACTAGTCGACCCTGAAGTCAGCCTCAGCAAGCGGCGACACCAGCGGAAGAAGACCTCTGTGTCAGTTTCTCGATTTGGTCAGGTGCGGTTATTCACTAGTGTTACGTGGTCCGTGTGCAACTCACTCTCAAACACGAATAGCCTTCAGATAGCAATGGCGCAAGTAGTTCCACCTCACCCACACCCTCCGTACTCGCTACAGTTGCCCAGAAGTCGACATTCTACCATTCATTAGCAAACGTAAGTACCTTTTTGTTTGTGCCTATAATCAGGAGCATGCCTGATCGGACTTTTCAGCCCAGAAGCATGGACTCCTTCATTTCCGAAGGTTCAGAAAACGAATCTCACCATTTAGAGGACGACCAGCATGTGACACAGGTCGAACGAATAGATGGACGTCAACCTTTTCGAAATACAGTTGAAGCCATACTACCCCGACGCATGTCTCGGTCGCGCTCGCACAACATCCTTTCGCCGAGCACACGCGTGCTCGTCGATGTCTCTGTTGAAAAGGCAACAATGGATGCCTCACATTCGCGCTCTGACGCCATTCACACCACCGTTCGTGCGACTAAAGGGGGAGAGCTACGCCCTCGAGCGTCTACTACGAGCGTGCTGGGCGCCAAGCCACCGACAAACGGTCTTGTAGAACGAGCAAAATCGTTCGCTCGGAATTTCGGGCGGAAGAGGAAGCCTGTCTCCGGGTGAGATGAAGTGGATGTTGTGCGCCCGGCTCTTGAGGTGTCACGGAGACTTCAGAATGTAATGGATCCATATTGATGATCCGAGCAGTTGCTAGGTTTCAACTAGGGCGAATAATGACCTTGGAGCACTCATCACCAAGACTTGCCATCAGATTTTCATGTACAAAACCGTGTTACCGACGCGTGATATGAACGGATTAAGCCAATCGTTGTTCAGTCGCATTTCCTCCGTTGACAATTGTGAGTTCGGTGTCGTGATTTACGTGCTTCGAGATCGATTACTTTCCAATTCTGAATCTATAATCAGATCGAAGAATACATCTCTGGCTGAGCAAGAGCAGTGCAAAAACAATCCCGCGCACTCATAAAAGCAGAGCATCATGATAGGCGCCAACCAATCCTCGCTCACAATCATTTTCCGGCTTGTTCTGGGGAGAGCACCAAATGAGCACTGTTCGCGCAGCAAGTCCTTTAACTATGAACCCGTCTGCCCCTAGACGTCTTGTGGACAAATGTACCCCACGGGACAAGTTCGCCCAGACACACGTCCATCATCTACAGAGTTCATTCCTCTCGTGTTCTGATGATTCGAATGTAAACATCGTGGGTCTCCTGAAACTTTTCTCCAGCCTCACTTTACTGATTAGATCTTGCAGCCCAGCGCGCCTTGGGTCCACACGTATAACTCACGACAACGTTCGCAGTCTTCCGCAGACACACAAGGCTGGAAGCATCTGCCAACCCCCATCCGACCAACCTTCCGCCCGCGCGACTATGCGCCACCACTCACTGCGGATGGCGTCTCCTCTGAGACACAGACGAATTTCAAAGTCCTACAACGTTCCTTGCATAACCTCGACTTTGATCCAGCTTGCCTTGATCGCCTCGATGATCAGCTTCTCCTCTCACCTACGGAGTCATTCGTAGACGTATGCTACTCTGAAGCTGTTCACGACGACGTTCCTGTGCCTATTCTCCAGCCTATTCAACCCCGTATACGCAAAGGCACGAGACTATATGACCGCACAGCTGCCAGCGACGAAGATCCTTTCCACGATTGGGATGAGAACTACTCCGTCAAGTTCAAAAAGGCTCGCAAGAGACCAGTCAGTTTTTTTTCGCATTCGTCGTGTCACTCTCCTGACATATTCATGCAGTTGCCCACACCTCCGCTCCCAGAGCTGCCGGAAGCATCACTTCCCAGAACGACTCACCAAGCCTCGATGCTCGCTCTTCTGGAATCACATATTCTATATCACAATCCCAACGAATCTGTTCACTTCTTCCCAGTGTCTTCCCAACGCTGCAACGGCGGTGAATCGCGAAAATCATCTCTCGAAGCTCCCTCCGTCACATCCACGGGGTCGAGCGGCAGATTCAAGCGTATCTCTGATGCACTGACCGGCCGTGCTCGGATAAAACCCAGTCCCTAAAACCTCCAGCTAACTTTATCGGATCTAAAGCCACGAGTCGCTTCAGATTGCACACGATCATTCAAAAAAAGCGACGTGCCGTCAGCTATCTCCATTCTTTGATTGTTATACTTGCGTGCAGCTGGAACTCCACTTTTCGACCCACTCATTTGTTTCTTTGATACCCCACTATCTTGTTGTTCTTTAGGATTGTATTTTGGAACTTTTCTAGCATCTCATCACAACCGACTGTTCTAATTTTCCCCACAGTCGGCAGTATCTTACAACCCTTGGTCTTGGTCAGTCTTGGTCCGTAGATACGATGATCCGTGACGTACGGTTCAGCATCGATAACGCCCCGAATGAAATAATGCGCTTACTTGGAACTTGAATATGACCGCGATTCTTGAAGACATCTTACCTCATGGGTCGTTTGGTCGGCCATCCGGTGTTATGGTGGAAGTTCGACTATCCGACTTTAAAATAGACATGCTGAACCAGGCTGAACCTGGCCGAAGGGACTCCCAAGTTACTCGAAGTGGGTTGTCTTTCGGAGCACGTAAACCGACGATGCCAAATTCGCCCAGTATCTGATGGTTTCAGACTAGTGGTGACCATGGCCGGCATCTGATCTTGCTCTACGAGTTAACCACTATGGGAGTCGAAAGGACATGAATAATAATGGCCTTGGGGACGACGTGAACATGTCATTTGAAGTAGCGACTGGTTACGGAGAAGCATAGAGAACATCCCCAGGGAGAAGGTTGAATGAGGCGAGTTAAAGTTTAATATCTCAAGGAACGAGGTTCAAAGCAGAAAAAGTTGGATATGAACATCATGAGACAGACATCGTATGTAAGCCGTCGTGAGGGAGGCAGCCTGAAGGACATTAAATTGTGTCAAGATACCATGACAATCCGAATTCCAGGCTGAGCTCGTACTCGGGAACACATCCTCCCCTGTGGACGAGAAGTTGGAGCGTAACTGGCTGGAGCCAACTCCTTGGTTCCTATACAAATGGTTTGCCTGAGAACACCTGCCGTAGCTCGGAGTCGATATGCCTGATCATCGATCATGCATCATGGCCTGAGAGGCTGTTTGAACCAGAACAGACCAGAACATACCCGCCAACAGCGATCCTCTGGGCTATAACTCGAGCACGTCAACATCGTTCGGAGCGACCATAATGCTAATAGTCTGAGGGTCGCAGCTACATTATGATGGCGCTAGCTTCCTCAAACAGCCTGAGGGCTGCTAGAATGCTGCCCTCGAGTTGCTCCTGCTGCAGAATGGAGAACAAGGTCAACTGGCTGAAATTTCTGGCCAGCAGCGATAATCAACCAATATTGTCGATGGAAGTTCTGAATTAAGTGAAGCAACTTGTAGAAGTCCCATCAAAGCGGTGTTTAGGCGCCCGACCCAATATCGTAAGTCTCAAGATCCTCTTGACAGCATCAGACGTCCATGTCTACTTTGGAGAACGTGCCTGTCGATCTTCTCCAGCCCATTCTCATTCATCTACCTGACCGAAGGCATCTGAGTGCAGCTGCGTTAGTAAGCCGGGCATTCAATCGTGCAGCGACGCCACTTTTGTACAGGAGACTCGATTCACAAGTGAAGCACAATGTGGGTTTCCTACTATTTATCGAGAGAGTGCTATATTTACTACAAACAGGTGCTTCACCATCCCTCTGCAACCCTTCTCAAACGACCAGAATTGGCACAGTATGTTTGGCATGTGACGGAGACAGGCAAGTGACGTGGTGTCAGGCTTGTACTTGGATTGATCAATCCCGCTACGCAGGCGCAGTGCAACAAGTTATTCCTAATATCACTGAAGATATTGTTGCAGCGCTTAGACTTTGTAAAAATCTCACATCGGCAACTTGGGTAGATGATACGTTGACTCCAGAGGCGAATTTTCTACCCATCTTGGATGTTTTGGTAACGTTGCCCCTGCGGGAGCTCACCATACGCACCCAGTATGATCCGGGAGAACGAGTTTGGGCACGGCTCAATACTATTCAGGGCATTCGTCGATTATCTGTGTGGTCATTGGAGTGGGGGCCCCCGCGGGTGCTTCAAGGATGGGCTGATTTGCTGAGCTCCTCTCTTACTCATCTCGAACTCTGCGTAAGCAATGTAACTTTTGACTTCCTCCCTCTACCTCCTTATACCACCCGCAGCGTTGCGCAGGTGTTCCAGCAACTATCCTTATCTCTGTCTTTATGAAGCTTCCCCTTTTACAAGAGCTCTGTCTCAAGGGTGCTCCAAGCGCCGCCATCCCGGCTATCATAGCTTGTCTGCCCAATCTGATAGCCCTTGACGCGGAATATCTAGGTTCTGGAAATTACCGCTCACCGCTCACACCGCTGCCCCGTTTGCAACGCTTGACAGTGCGAGCAGGCTCAGTGGATATCCTTGGACCACAGAAACTATGGACATGGATGAGGGCATTGCTTCCGCACCAACAAACTCTAAAGTCATTCACGCTGAATGCATTTGCAGTGCAAGGACAAATGACCGTTCCGCGCCCATTCATCATGAATCTTACTGCCAGACACGGGATATCACTTCAAGAGTTTGCGGTAGGCGTTGCGCAAGTGACGTTAGAAGCCGTATCCCATATGTGCTCAACATGCCCCCAACTTGAGTTGCTTGAATGCTCTGTGGCGAGTTCGGACGTAGTAAGTAATTCTCGTTAGTATGCGAAAGAAGAATATCTAGTTAATCGCTGACGCGTCTAGGACATGATTGCAAGAGCAATCGAGGCGGGGCGCAACCTTCAGACACTCAAACTTCATGTCTCTTGGATCGCCGATGGCAGCGTCGATTTGCCTCCGCAGTATGATAAGTTCTTTACAGGACCTCGCATCATGTATACATATTTTTCCCATCCCGCCAGCGATGGCAAGAGGATCCGGTTTACCGAGGAGCAAGCTCGCGCTTTGATGCTCCAGACGCGACTTCGTAACATTGGCATTGGAGATCAGTCCTATATAGTGAGTATATTCTGTTATTGTTGCGCCCTTGGTATTCGGGCTCTGGCTTGGCTGTGGCCTATGACATTCTCATCTGTTTTCTTTAGGGTCGGTGGGTTCGGCGGGAATGTTCTGCCAAGATCACTCAGGATATCGTGCAAGAAAATGTTGTGTTCGAGGTCGTTGGAGATGTCACCGACGATCCATTCATATAAACTTCGTTACCTATACTTGTTTGCATTAAACTCTTCCATGGCTCGTTCTTGAAGTGTCAGCCAGTAATAATATAGCATATCACATGTGCGTCGTTACGAGTTTCGTAGAACGTCATGAAAGTTGTCGCTGTCAGCCTCTTGCATGAATATTTCCTCGCTAAAGTGGGCACGAAGAAAGTTTTATTTCAGACCATATTCATGCCATAGATAATCTGGTTGATGGCGGATTCAACCGCGTCTCGTTCCTCGAGATAGTACCCTGCAACTCTACGAACGAGGCCTCATGTGCTTATGATATCCGGAGCCCCCGAGCACTTCACGGGTAACTAGTTAGTGAGCGGCAACATACCGTAGCCAGGAATGATTTCCAGATTTCACAAACAAAGGTGTTATCTAGACAAGAGGGGGGAGGTAATATTACAGAGCGAGAGGGGTGCCCAATGTATACGAATCTTCCTTTCGAGCTGCGTCAACCAAGAGCTCTGAGCATCGATAGTTCCAAGGTTTGACGCCAAAGACTTCAGAACGATAATTAGCCAGTACGGCGTGTGAGTTCCCTGTCCATCCAGGAAACCGACGAACGGAAAGGTTCGGGTGCGGCGACCGTGTGAGGTGTGCGGAACAGGTGGGGCATAGCGGAGAGCTTCATCAAGGCATCGGCGGGAAGCGCAGCGTGCGAAGGTTCAAAAGGCAGGATGGACTCCTGAACAAGCGTTATTTGCGAACAACCTAGCTCGTGCATAAGTTAGCACCAAGACTGCGGACGAATAATTGTACAGCTTCAAGGTGTATGACCGAAGGCTACCTTCGATGGGTTTACAAAGAGCGCACGTAAAGTCTGGACTGTTGTTATGATAGACGTTATTGGAATCTTGGGTGTAGAAGATGCTATCGGTGGCTTTATCGTCGTGAACGCTTAAGCTTGACACTGGGCTGTTGCAATGTGGGTGTGTGTCTAGCACACTTCTGGAGAGCATACCTGTGTAAATCATTGCTGTGACTGGCCGTCTGTCCACCGATTGCCATGAGAGTGCGTGTTACTGAGGAAGAATTATGAACATGATGGCACATATATCCCGTACGTCTAGCGGTGAACAGAGTATGCGTGGCGGGATATTTCGGAGGCATGTATGACGCGTTGGCATCTGGAGAACAGTCGTTGTATGAAATGAGAGTGCCGCCAAATGGTGGGTCCACACCGGTGGTATCAGAGTCGCAGGCACGCGATACGAATGGAGTTATGAGCTCTCTCTTCAGTCCTATGGTCACCGGAGCAGCTGATGGCTTCGACGGAAGCTCGTATGTCTCGTTCGCTATCGGTTGTCCCAATTTCTTCGCCTTTGTTTTGCGAGAGCGGAACCAGTAATCGATGCGTATTGGACTTATGTTCCGTGAGGCGGCCCATGCATGTCGTGACGCACGCGTCGGAATGCGGGGGTCGGATAGCCAGATTGCCCAAAGCTCTTCTAGGTCGGATGGAGTTAGGTGTGGGATAAGGGCTTTCCTCGTCAGGGTCTTGACTGCCTGGAACTCAGATTTGATGTTGGAGTACGCCTCGCCTTTCAGGTTGGAGATAGAAGGGTCGCTGTTGACGGCTGACGGGACGTTCTGACTCGGAATCGTGACTTGCCGAAGGTTGGGCTTAGCGGTGGAATGGGATTTGGATTTCGGTGTGCAGGTCAAGCGGAGAAGGCCATCTAGCGGCACATTTCTAAAGTTCGTCGTTTTCATCTCTGCTGGAGGCATAGTTGCTAGAATGGACGAATGGCAAGAAGAAAACGATAGCAATTTGGACGAACTCGATTACATAACACTGCAAAGTGCAAACTGAAAATATTCAAATCCCGACGCCACGGATCGGAAATGTGCTGTGCCTGAATAGGAAACGGGTCACTTAACCTTGATTTCTGATTTCCAGCACTACTTCCGACTATTTTATTTAAGGGACTGCGTGGAATGATAGAAAATGATCCTGGCTATCATAATATTGAGGTTTTGTAATTTTAGAGAAGTGTTGTGTATGTTCATAAATATTTTATCAGAGGGTCTTGATTTTGGTCAAAACCAATATGTGGGTCAGTCAGTACTAGCAAACCCACCCCACAAGCTCATGCAATTATTTTTGGTGGAGAGCTTGTAAGACAGGGTTCAACTTGATTCAGATATACTATTTTTTGTGAAGGAGGAGGTGAGGGCATAGTAGAGGCCAAAAATCTCAGTGCTTAGGATACATGGGAATCTGTTAGATACCGTGCCGACTCAGGAAGCAGAGGGGTCGGGGCTTGGCTTCAGCTCTTGCGCTGCGCCCTTAGCAGAGTACGTGCCCCGAATTTGGAGCGGATCTGACATTGTCCGACAGTAGGACAATTGGACTGCTTTGGTCCGCTCTGAGGGTCGGGGAGTAAGAGCTACTAGCGGTGGGCCAACTAGGAGCGGAGCGGAGAAGGTGGGGAGTGATGCGGAGAGGGGATAGGAGCAGGGGAATGTTGGTAGGGGTGGGAAAGGCGGAGGATAATGTAGGGGGGCGAAGGAGGATATTTGATAGGGGTGGAGTAATAAGGGGAAGACTTAGAGCACGGCTCTAAGTTGGAGCGGAGGGTCAGAGGGTCGGAGGTGACAACAAGTTGAGACTTGTGTCCAGAGGAGGCAAGGTTCTACTGAGAATTCTCACAAGGTATAACTGCGAGAAGACAAGTAATATTAAGACTCAGGAAAAATATCTAAGTACATGATATGTTATATACTACTATGTATGAGGCAGTGATCAGGATAACTATGCAGTAAAGCTATGTACCAAGGATATAGTTTGTAAGTATTTTACATAGGCGAAGACATAAGTCGGGGCGGATATCAATATGTACGCATCGGATCAGCGATCGAGCAGTAATAGGAATTACCAGCCATCCGGAAGTAAGGGTCTATGTACCAATAGGGAAGGCATATATCTAAAAGGGGAAAGAGCTCCAGTTGAATGGAGAGGTTATGGAAGGGGACCGGTTGAGTGGTTGAGTGGAAGCGTAGGGCAGAATGCAGACTTGTGATTGGACGGAGCGGAGGATGAATGGGGCGGAGGGGTCGGAAAGCAGAGCGGATATCAGTATTGGAGCAGTCGGATCAGGTATATGACAGAATCATACTTTTTGGTGTGACTTTGAGCACTTATTTCATGCCAACCTTGAGAACTTCTCAGCAGTTCAGCTTAAAACTTTGGGACAGTGACCTTTCAACTATGCTCTATATGATGGTGAAAACAACAAGTCAATAGCTGCTGTGGTTGGTGAGAAAAATGCTGGGTGACCCACTACTGGATCTGACCTGTAACTTACTCAGCCACAGTAAACCACTGCAACAGTGCAACATTGATGCATGTGGATCTTGTCTGGACAACCCTATGGTTATGACTGAATTAAGTATGTTTTGATGAAAATAAGGGGATTGATTGCTCAAATAATCCTGCATTGATGTTGTAGTGATCTAGTGCAAGAACAGGGGATCTGATAAACATTGCAAGGTATGAACAACCAGAAAGATGATAACACAAGTGCTGGAGTTAGATATTGGAACCCCTGTCAGCATTAGAGTTGCTGAGAGATTACTCAGCATGAGTGTTTCTATCGCCAGTGGCAGTGCTTTGGTGATGGCAGCAAACTTGAAATAGAAGGAGATTTTGCAGTTTCTGAAGGTTGCCATAGATTAGTTGTATAGCAGTTTTATCAATGACTGATCTCACCTCTGTGCAACATTGAGTCATCTCACATCTCACCCACTCTGATTTCTGAGAATGAGCAACAGAAAGGTCAAAGACTGGTGGTGGGGATGTTTTGATACTCACCCAGATTTCAAGAAGAAACTATCTACAGCCTATGTGAATGAGAAAGAACAGTGGCCAAAAGTAATGTGTGGGGCATGCAAGATCAGCAAGATAATTGACAAGCAGCAGAAGGATTGTGAGCAGCAGTGCCAAGGCCTGCAAAACAATATGCGGACTAGTGCTGCTGAAGTCCGGTTTGGTTTGGTTCATGGGCCTCTAAATGCGAACCTTGAACCAGACCATCGGTCAGGTTCAGGCAAGGAGGGCAAACATTGGACTGGACCCTTGCAAACACATTCAGAAGTGTTTGGTTCGAGTTCAGAACACATTTGAACATCCAAATGCTACATATAAATTCCAAAAAATTGCAAGAAATACATGAAAAATTCGACACGAATGAGTAACTACACCATATCCATGACAGGGTATTCATGAGCAGTGGCAAATTCAGCTTGAGCCATTGCAGATATATGGCCTTGATGATATCCACTCTTCAACAGCTGAAGTGCCTCAAACATTGTCAGCAACAAACCATTTTGGTGTGTGGTCCCAGTGATGCCGCTGCTTGAAAAAGCTCGTTCAGATGCAATGGCAGATCCTTGAATAGCTAAGTAGTCCTTTGCAATGTGAGAGATGGTGGGATATTGAATGGAATGATGCTAAAGGCATTTATGTCAACTTGTAAGGAATAATGATTCGAAAAAAACTCACACCCCACCAAGCGACTATGTTCTCAACATTCTCTAGCGGGGAAGCCAGATAGTCTTTGAGTTCTTGATGAGGCCTTCGGCTCGCAGTATCACCCGCAACACGAGATTTGACAGCGTCACACATCTAACTGTGGCCATACGAGCCTTGGCATGCAAGCAAGGAAGGAGCCACAACAACAGGCTCTGCATTGGGTAAGGAATTATGGTGATAGTATTTGTTGAAAATGTTCTGCAGGCGTCTCATGCCCTTGTCGAACTCACAAGGCTCCCATTTACTCTTCACATACACAACCTTGTAGTTGGGGTCGAGTGCTATATACAAGGTAGTACATTAGATAGGGCATTATATTAAACATAACGTGTACCAAGACAAATAAAATAGACATCAGTTTCATCAATCTTGTGGTACCACTTGCAAAGATTGTCGATACCAGAGTTAATGGTGTTTGAAAAGTCGTCAAACTTTGAAGAACCAGCCATGTTTTGCCAAGTTTGTTGGAGAAATTCAAGTACTGGAATCGTGCGCCATACAGTGGGTTCATGAGTTGCAGAGAATGATTGTTGAGCGTTTGCAGGCTCCTGATAATGTCATAGGTTAATAAAATATTATCAATGAAGAAGCGTGCACACACCTGAAGTACATCATGCATCAATTCTAACATCTTCCATTCTTCAGCTGAGAGCTTGAATGTTCCATATGACTTGCCCTGCAAGTTTGGAACTTTGTCGCTATCATCCGTGAGCTGTATGAACCTATTGACCCCCTTACACAACCTAAGTATGCGCTCCATCATGCCGAAAAGTGACACCCATCGGGTGCAAATCCATTTCAACAGCTCGAGGTTAGGCTCATTGACCTCAGCACAGCACTTCTGGAAGAAGGTACGTGCTTGGGGAGATTTCCGTACCTAAGAATAGTTCATTAAAATTTAAACGGGCTGGTCAGATGAAGACTTACCTGCGTAACAAGCACAAGGGCTTTCCAACAGTGTCGGCAACCTCAAAATCAGTTGTTTTGTCATCTTCATTGTCATTAGCTGCATTCTTGTTGAGAATACTTGCTGGGGTAGGAGCAACGTCCTTGACAAAGTGCTTTGCTGCTAGGTGTAAGGCATGCTCCATACAACTGAATAGATGTTAGTATATAATATTAATAGAATGTGATCACTTACTGCACACAGTGCTTGCTTGCAATCCATTTTGTACCAGAAGGGTCAATAGTGTTTGCAACAGTCTGAATTGCAGTGTCATTGTTGGTGGCGTTGTCGGCTGTAAACCATCCAACCTTGGTGTGAAAGTCGTACTTATCAATAGTTTCAATTAGAATCCATTCAATGTTGCTACCTATCATGAATTCCAAACACGAATCATTTTTTGTTCCTCGGCTTTCCTCCAGCTACTTCTAGTTACCGAATCGATCACGTGACTTCACTTCCCGTCACATCTTCATCTCTTCACATATCACCCATTACTTCTCCGATTGGCTCCCCTACTCCACGGGCTAGAACAATCTTGCTTCCTAAAGAAGAACTGGTTGGATCTTGGGTTTCTATTTAGTAGCCGTCTTACTCATTGCTTATATATCATGATGTCATGATCAGTTATCCGCAGTATCGTATGACTTGTTTTCATTGGCTGATTTCTTTTATACTCAGCTATCTCCTATTCAATGTTATGTATATAAGTAGGTTAGTTAGCGTAAGTGCTCCTTAGACTTAACCTCTTCGTTCTCTACAGTTGTAGTAGACCTAGATGTTCACACTCAAATCTATCTTGTTCTCATCATCAACTGTGACCGAGTCCTAGTGGTTGTTGTCTGACTTTACCATTCAGTGAACTCAGGTCATAACACTACCACTATGATTGCCATTGGTGATCATGAATGCAAGCTGCTCACTCTTCAACTCCCACTCCTGAGGTTTCCTGTCTGGGGAGTCAATGTAATGCGCAGTGACAGAGAGGAAAGGCAC